GTGGAGCCAGTAAGATGATTCCGCCCCAGGCGCTTGATGGAACCTGACAGATTCCAGATGGAGCTTGGGCCATTTCCTGAGGCTCTGGCACACGCCTCGACTGGAGACCTAGTGGCCGCCTGGGATAGGGCGGCTGCTGGAGCTCTGGATCGGGTTGTGCCTTTGCGGCCTCTGACCCGGCGCCGATCTCAATTGGCTCCTTGGTTTACTGAGGAGCTGAGGGAGTTGAAGCGCTGGAAAAGATGCCTAGAGAGTAGTTGGAGGGCCCGTCTTTCTGAATCTGACCGGACACTATTAAGATCCCATATTAGGAATTACCTAGTGGCGATAAAAGCAGCAAAATGTAGCTATTTTGCTGCTCTTATTGTGTCATCAGATAACCGCCCGGCCGCCCTCTTTAGGGTGACCCGCTCCCTGCTCCATCAGGAAGCACGGGAGGACCCCTTGGAGGGTAGAGCCAAGGATTTTGTTCAGTATCTGTATGACAAAATCACTCAGATTCGGGAAGATCTGGACTCTGACTGGGTAGTCTCAGGGGGAGGGACTGGGGCAGGTCTTGAGAATGTTATCTGGGATGAGTTTGATCCTGTGACCCCTGAGGACGTGGACAGGATTCTGGGCAGACTGAACGCGACCACTTGTTTATTGGACCCATGTCCTTTCTGGTTAGTACTGGCTTCCCGGGAAGTGACACGAGGCTGGCTCCAGGGGATTATAAATGCTTCGTTGGGTGAGGGTGACTTTCCTGCCACCTTGAAAGAGGCGGTGGTGAGGCCTCTCCTCAAGAAGCCTTCCCTGGACCCGGCAATGTTGGTAAACTATCATCCGGTCTCCAACATTCGCTTTGTGGCAAAGGTTGTTGAGAGTGTGGTTGCACAACAGCTCCCCCAGCACCTGGATGAAACAATGTATCTAGATCCATTCCAGTCAGGCTTCAGGCCCGGGTACAGCACAGAAATGGCATTTATCGCGTTGGTGGATGATCTCTGGAGGGTTCGGGACAGGGGATGCTCTGTCCTGGTCCTGTTAGATCTCTCAGCGGCTTTTGATACCATCAACCATGGTATCATGCTGCACCAGTTGGAAGAGTTAGGGGTGGGAGGCACTGTGTTGCAATGGTTCTCCTCCTTTCTCTCTGACCGGTCGCAGTCTGTGTTGAAAGGGGGGCAGAGGTCAACCCCGAGGCCCTCATATGCGGGGTGCCGCAAGGGTCGGTCCTCTCGCCCCTCCTGTTCAACATTTATGTGAAGCCACTGGGTGATATCATCAGTGGTTTTGGGGTGAAGTACCACCAATACACTGATGACACCCAGCTGTACATCTCCATCCCAGACCACCCCAACGATGCCCTTGAAGAGATGTCCCGGTGCCTGGAGGCTGTGCAGATCTGGATGGGGAGGAATAGGCTCAGGCTCAACCCATCCAAGACCGAGTGGCTGTGGTTTCCGACGTCCCGATATAGTCAGTTGGTGCCATCACTGACTATTGGGGGCGAATCATTGGCCCCCAAGGAGAGGGCGCACAACTTGGGCATCCTCCTGGATTCACGGCTGTCTTTAGAAGAGCACTTGACGGCCATGACCAGGAGGATTTTTCATCAGGTTCCCCTGATCTGCCAGTTGTGTCCCTTTCGGGACTCGTTACGCATGGTCACTCATGCCCTTGTCACCTCCCGCTTGGACTATTACAATGCTCTCTACATGGAGCTCCCCTTGAGGAGCACCTGGAGGCTCCAGCTGGCGCAGAGTGCGGCTGCGCGGGTGGTAATGGGAGTGACATGGCGTTCCCACGTAATACCCCTCCTGCGCGAGCTGCACTGGCTCCCGGTGGTCTTCCGGGTGCGCTTCAAGGTTTTGGTTACTACCTTTAAAGCGCTCCATGGCTCAGGACCTGGGTACTTGCGGGACTGCCTACTACCACCAATAGCCTCCCACCGGCCGGTACGCTCCCATAGAGAGGGGCTCGTCCGGGTGCCAAACAATGCCAACTGGCGGCCCCCAGGGGGAGAGCCTTCTCTGTGGGGGCACCTACTATCTGGAACGAGCTCTCCCCGGAGATACGGAGGATTCCGGATCTGTGCACCTTCTGCCGCGCTCTAAAGACCTTATTATTTCACCAGGCGGGCCTGGCCTAATTTTCTCCCTCTTTGATAAAAGATTTTTAATTTTTTAATATCTTTTAGTATTTTATATATTCAAATTTTAAAATTGGTTTTAAACAGTTCGGGGTTTTAATTTGTCTGGGCCAAAACTATTTAATTTGATTTTAATTCTACTTTTAAATTTTGTATGTATGTGTTTTATTGTTTGGCTGTGCACCGCCCTGAGTCCTTCAGGAGTAGGGCGGTCTAGAAATCAAATCAAATAAATAAATGAATAAATAAATTTGGTTGGTCTATTACCTAATGGTCATGTTGCTGCCGCCTGTCAGTATTTACAAGACTACTGGATCTGGACTGCAAAACATCAGAAAGATACAAAAAACTATTGTTACTAATTCCTACCTAATGGTGGAATTTTTACAAGTCAGAACTTTAGTCCTTTTATATGAAAGCTGGATGTAGCAATAGCAATAGCACTTAGATTTATATATACTGCTTTACAGTGCTTTATAGGTCTCTCTAAGCGGTTTGCAGAGTCAGCATATTGCCTCCAACAAGCTGAGTCCTCATTTTACCGACCTTGGAAGGATGGAAGGCTGAGTCAACATTGAGCCTGGTGAAATTCAAACTGCCAAACTGCTGGCAATTGGCAGTCAGCAGAAGTAGCCTGCTGTACTGCATTCTAACCACTGCACCACCACAGCTGTCAGTTCTTCAAAATATTGTGGCACAAATAATGCCCTACAATTTCCACAGACTGCATTAACTCAACATGATAAATTATTAAACTTGATAATACATATATGTTCATTGACTCCTTCCTTTGAGAAGAAGATTGAAATAATCATCTATAGTTAATTTACTGTTTAGGCATGTGAACAATTATCATATTATAGAGATCTGAAATTATGAAATGATACAGACAACTAAAGACAACATGTAGAAAAGTTAAGGTAATTTTATAGGCAACAGTGGACTAGCAATGTCATTTGCTGGCAGTTTGCTTTCATACAAAATTTGTACTTTCTTGAAATGGTTTTTCTATTTGTAGATCAGAATTATTTTTAAAGAATTTTAATATTTCTGTAAATTGTGATGACTGATAATGTTTTGACTCTCTTTAGCCATTTCCTCCTCAGTAACAAAAATAATAAAATAAACCTTTTGTGTTATGGTCATATATATAAATTATCAGTCATGGTAATAGAGTTCAAGGAAGATTGTGGTGATTGTTGCCCTGAAGACATATTTTTAATAGGTGAAATTACAATGAAAATAATGAATTACTAAGATTGCTATCTCAGTGTATATTAAAAGCAATTAAAAGAAGAAATAATATTCTCTCTCTCTCTCTCTCTCTCTCTCTCTCTCTCTCTCCTTTAGAAAAGTTCTAATTTTTCAATCAACAAAGTGAATCAGTCAAGTTGGGCAAAATCCAATACTAGCAAATTTGAGCCATTTGTTGATAGGAGTGTATTTTAATTTCAGTCTAGGGGAATGAGTGTATGTGTGAGTGACAGAGAGACAGAGAGACAGAGGCATAGACAGAAAGAGAGAGAGAGAGAGAGACAGAGAGTGAGAGAGAGCGGGGAAGGAGGGAAAGAGAGGGAGAGAGAGGGAAAAGAGAAAAAAGAAAAGAAAGAAAGAAAAAGAAAGAAAGATGAAGGAAGGAAGGAAGGAAGGAGGGAGGGAGGGAGGGAGGGAGGGAGGGAGGGAGGGAAGGAAGGAAGGAAGGAAGGAAGGAAGGAAGGAAGGAAGGAAGGATATAACTTTTGCAGGACTCTGCCTAGTGGATAGAAAGAGCTATAGTGATCCACTTCTACGATTCTTTGTACAACTGTTAAAATTGCATAGAAGTACACATTTCCACAAGTAAATTCTAGAGTGCAACTGATTGTATTTGGCTCTTTAAAGAAATAAAATTTATATTATTTTGGAACTCAATGCAGTCCAAAGAAGAAATCTTTGAGAATGCTAATTGGGTAACAGGAAACATAAAAAGCAGCCATTGAAAATGAAAGTGAATACCTGTTTTCAAGTTTTCTTTTTAGAATTTCTATCTTTTTTATTTCCAGTTTCAAATTTGGTGTGAGGGAGACCCTATTTAATGTGGACAGGAAGGGGAAGATGGGGGAAAAAGTTAGACAATAGGCCTAGCCTATTTCCAAGCCAGGGATGGTAGAGAAAAAAACTTTCAGAAAAATATTGCTCAATCTATCTTTGTGACTCTATTGGGCACATCTTAGAATGTTGTTGATTGTTTCATGCTAGGTTCTTCTGTCTGCTCCCAGACAGAAGTCACCCTCCTTCTCAACACACAAAAATCCTCCCAGATGTAGCATATCCAGGAACGTAGGGGAAAAGGGAAAGTAGAAACATATCCAGAGATGCAGTTTATTATTACTTTGTAACCCCAAAACAGGACACTGGAGGGAATTCCAGAACTTGTTAAACACCTAGTTCGGTGATACAGACTACAGTACCAACTGCAGCATTTTGATATTGTGCAATGTCTGAAAGTTTGGAGTAGTCAATGATACATTTCTTGTTCCAGTTAAAAGTTTATTTTGCAGTTTTGTTTTCATGGACTAAGTTCAAGCAAAATTCAAAGGGGGGTGGTTGTTTGTCTTTGTTTTAATAAACAGGATTTGAGAATTAAACAATTCTTCCATGGAAACCAATGCAGATGTTAAGATGCTTCTTTTGATTATATTATGTTCCATGTTTTATTACTAACAGATGCCTGGCTCTTAATTACATATCTGAAAAAGACAAAACTCTATAGTTTTTCATTAACTGAAAACATGATTATACTTTATATAGGCAATCTTTTCCAAGTACTGGACTGGTTCTGATAATGGAGATTTTTTTGACCAAGGATGTCATTCCTTCTCTACAGATGTGAATGAGTGTGAAGCTGAACCCTGCAAGAATGACGGTATTTGTACAGATCTGGTAGCTAACTATTCCTGTGAGTGCCCAGGTGAATTCATGGGACGAAATTGCCAATATAGTAAGTATACCTTAAATACATGTATTTCACTCTGATTCTTCTAGTGCTAGTATGTAGGTAATAAAAGTGAATATGTTACATCTACGAAAGAGGATCAAAAAGCACAATATTTAAATGAAGATAAGATAAAGCTGGCTGAATTAATACTGTCTCTTGCAGCCAGAGTAGATTTATAACTACCTTTTTAGAATAACTCAGCAGCTTTCTTTCCATTCCACTGTTTTAGTAGAATAATTTTTATAATCAGTTTTCAGACTTCACACAATTCTGTATTTTTTTCCTCATCTCTTCCCTTTTTCCTCTGGTGAAGAGAAAGTAGAAGATAGATAGATAGATAGATAGATAGATAGATAGATAGATAGATAGATAGATAGATAGGCAGGCAGCAGGCAGGCAGGCAGGCAGGCAGGCAGGCAGGCAGACAGACAGACAGACAGACAGACAGACTGATTTTGTATAATCATGTTTGGGAAGTTTGTTTATAATATTTATGTATTCATCTTATAATTCAAGAAAGGAACAATGCAATATTTCTTTTTCTTCATTATCATTCTTATTTGGAAATGTTAAAACGAAATATTGGATGGCCTAATGATGAAAATTTATCATTTGTTCTGGTCTATGGGAACAAAACAGTTTTAAATCTAAAAGGACCAATAATCTACTTAGAATTATTTTTGCTGTATATATGTAGCAAAGAAACATTAACAAATAGTTAATCAATCCTGGACTGTAAAGAAACTAATTGGTTACTACATGAATATAAAACTCAACAGTATTGCTTACAATTTACTCTTAAGTCTGTCTGTATGAAAAATTGGTAGCTTAGCAGTGGGTGATCCAATTTTGTAAGTCTGAGTTTCATGTGTCATCCTTGATTACAACTGCCAAAGAAATAGGTTTGGTACATATTTTTATATTGTACTGCTGAGTTACAAAAGATATTGTTGAAGGGCAAATAGATACCCACACATGATATATTGGAATATTGGTATACAGTGTATATAAATTATTCTGATCTGTGTAGCAAAACATAAATTTATTGGAAAATTCTCTTATTCTTATACTTCCATTAACTACAGTTAATTGTAAGATGAATTTATAATTCATATATAATAAAATGGACAGATGATTTCAGGTCTGTACTATCCAGAAAAATGTTAAAAATCACCTTTTAGAAAAATCAACTACAGACCTTCTGAAACTTCAGTTCCTAAAGTTTTAATGCTCATGAGCTATAAATATAAACTATGGCATATTAAAATGCTAGCTTGTAATCTTAGTACAAGATTGTTCTCAGAGACTATAACATTAATGTAGAAAAGTTCCCTGTTCTTTCACAAATGTTTATGGCATGTCAAATCCCTAATTATGTAGCAATATTGTAATTACAAAACTATCATTGCGTATATTTTATAGAAATTGTGTAATTGAAAACTATCAGCTATTTATGTAAATCAATTATTTATATAATATATAATACTATATAATAGATTGCCCCTGCTTGTAATTAAACCAAGCATTTTTTTCACTATAAGCTTAACCTATTTAAACATTGGTAATTATAAGAATTTGTGCAATTACAGACAGCCAATGTAAGTTTATATGTTATGAAACAGATTTTCAATTAAGATATCTGTTAACTTCATTTTGTTCTTGCTTTGAAATTAAATTGGAATATCTTCAACTCGAATCGAAACATTTTTAAATTTTGTATAAGTAGTTACTTGTAGGTCACTGTTAGGAAGTTTATATAAACATTTTTCAAACAAATAAATTTGAAAACTTTTCAAATAAATATGTTATCATGTTATAGCTCCCAGAATGTCTAACAAATATAATAAGAAACAATACAATGTATTTTATATACAATACATAAAAAGTAGAATTGTTTATGATTCATTGGTTATGATTATACTTTAGGAACAGAAGAAGTAAAACAAGCTTTTACTACATTCCACATCATACATATGCCGGAGATAAATTCCTGGTACAATTTTTTCAAATTCTAGTTGTTGAGAACTGGAGTTCTGGTGAGAATAAGTGTTATATTGTTGTGGATGGACCACATTTCTCATACAGATTCTAATAGAAAGCCTATCTTTTCATGCATATGTTTTTTTTCCTAAATAGAACAAATATTTTTTTTTTTTTGCGGCTGCACCATTGTTTACCTACTAACAATTGCTGTCTGCAAATTTCAGAAATGATATTTCCATTCAAAGTTTCTATGTTCTCTAATTTAATATTTAGCATTTTCTTGCTATAAATTCAGGCTTCACCCAAGCTTCTTGATGGTTTTCTGGAAACTGGTTGTTCTGGGGCTCTAAATGTATTAAACCATTTCTCTGTATTAATGCTTCCTTGTCTTAAATAAATGAGCACATGGCAACTATAATTATCTTATGCATGAGCCCTTGAAATATTTATTCACTCAAATCTCATTTGACTAAGCTATTGAGGATGTGTGAAAGATGATAGAAAAAAAATCAAACTAGAATTTCCCATCATTGCTGCATATTCTGGTATTAGTATGAAGAAATTCCACATAATCCTGTCCTTCTCCTTCCCCTCCCTCCCCCTTTTTCATATCATTAATGCATCATTGGATACAACCAAAGAAAGTAACAGTCATATAATCACATCTGCTGTAAAACTATATATGTGTTAGACAAAGGTTGTTTAGCAGAGAAACTGCATCCAACACCAGCCTCACAGTGAGGCAGAGATATTGAACAGGAAGCTGTAGCAAGATAAACATTGTTTATAGTTGTGTCTTTAACGAAAGTTACCACTGATATCAGAAGCTGGAGAAGTCAAGGCTGATAATATCACTGAAATTCCATCTCATTTGATAGATTACAATTGGCATTTGCTGGGCCCTTGGTTTCTTTCACAACCAATAGGGTGGAAGATGATAGCCAGACATCTGATGAGGAAAACTGAGAACTTTTCCTCAAGCTACAGAAGATGGAAAACTTACCATTTTTCATAATTTTAAAAGGGAGAATATAACATTCTAAGACTTTGAGATGTTTTAATAAATGTGGCTGGCAACTTTTCTAAAATCACCTCATGCAGGGTAAGGTCTAGTATGTAAATTACTGACCAATTTCACTGTCCTATATTTATCTGAAAAAAAGTTTCATCCTAACATATCTTTGAATATGAGTTCATTTCCCATAGGACACTTGGCAAAAATGTAGTAATTTTTCATGGCCCGCAATGTTCTTTTCTTCAGATTAAATGTAAGGCTGCACATCACAAGTGCTGCATGATTGCTATCACCTGAATCAGACAGATAATGTTCATCTACTTAGATATTCTGCCCCTACAAAGATTAGTAATTTCTTGCCTACCATTACTTCTGAACCTTCTCCCATTTGACTGAGAATTATCTTTATATGTATGTCAAATGCAATTTCACTTCCAAAATTTTACTTTGATCTCTGTAACTCCCTGCACAGTTCATCATTTTCATTTGACATAAAAATTCTGTAATTTTATTATATTTCTTTAAAAAGATGTGTGTGTGTACATACATGCATACATACGGTAGCTCTTTATTTAAATAAGAACAATTTGCCTGTATTTCTGCTAAGATTATTATTACACCTAATTTTAGCACCATATTTGTAATTATTTCTAAAAGACATGTTCTGTGTTGTCAGCCTTTGCTGTAAACTTAATTTTGCCGATATGCTGCAAATAATAATATTCTGCCCACAGAATTAATTGACCCCAAAAACTTCCCTATTTTTTTCCATAGTGGCTGATGAAAGGATAACACAAAATAGCAATAGCACTTAGAGTTATATATCACTTCACAGTGCTTTACAGCCTTCTCTAAGTGGTTTTCAGAGTCAACATATTGCGCCCAACAATCTGGATCATTTTACCGATCTCAGAAAGGCTTAGTCAACCTTGAGCCGGTAATCGAATTGCCAAATTGCAGGTAGCCGGCAATCAGCAGAAGTAGCCTTCAGTACTGCACTCTAACCACCGCAACTCAAAATAGCTGGGAAAATGGGGGAAAAGTCATCCTTACTTACATAGGCATTCTATGTCTTTCCAAGATGATTTTATATGGTTGCTATGAGGGATCTACATATGTGAGTGTGTGATTAGTATCTCTTTCCTTCCTTCCCTTCCTTCCTTCCTTCCTTCCTTCCTTCCTTCCTTCCTTCCTTCCTTCCTTCCTTCCTTGTTTCTTTGTTTATCTGTTTTCAATTGCCAATTCCATCTTTTTTAGATAGGCTTTCAGGATACTTGGTTTGCTTGCTTTTTGTTTTCTTGCAGTTATTGTTCTGGATTCTAATGGAAGAAAATATTTGTAAGATCATGTTACCTAATTTGGTAATGGAAGAAAACAACCACCAGGCTCAGAGAACTTCAAGGACCCCACTTTTTTAGGTGTATATCCGTGGTGGGTTGCTACCGGTTCTCCCCAGTTCTTGTGAACTGTAATGGAAATTTTGAGTAGTTCAGAGAACTGGTAAATATCACCTCTGTCTGGCCCCGCCCCCAGCTGAAACCTATTCGCTGCCTCCCGAGTCCCAGCTGATCAGCTAGAAGGAAAAAAACTGTTTAAACTCTTGCCACGGCGCTTCAAAGGGCTGACCTACAGCTGATCAGTGGTAAAGGCAGTGTGGTGGTAGACCAGTGCACCAGATTTCTTAGAAGTTAGATTTGTACGTGTACTAATGAGGAACTTGAATTTGTATCTGGGGCTGAGTTCCATAAAGGAATTAAGGCCAGCAAATAGATTGTGGGTCGAACTGAAGATTTTGTTTTCTTTCCCATAAAAGAATCTCAGGGTAGCTCTCCTAGTTCTTTGGACAGCCAAGACCATCCAGCTCTATTATTATTTTTAACTTGTCATCAGAGCTGAAGAAACAAATTTAACTACTTAAAACACTTGGCCAATTCAATAGCATTACAATTGATTGGCCCTTAGTCTTGTAGCAACAACTATAATCTTGATTTATAATAATTAATAACATTAATTACCTGATTAAGAATCTCTAAGGCTTTCCTGAAGCAACTGAAGACTATAATAGTATCAGGATATCATTTGCATAAAATAAAAAAACCTGTTCCTCTCCACAAATTTACAAGCATGTATTGAAAGTAAGATGCTTCATCAGTAAGTTAACATGGAAGTGAAAAAGAAGCAAGGATAAAACATAGTCTTGGAGAACTCCTTTGGGATTAGGACACACCTTGAAAGCTGACTTTCAGTGTAATATCTAATTCTTAAGATTGTAGTTAAGTATTACAACAAGTAACTTGTAAATTGCAAATGATTCATAATAAATACCTTTGAATTGTAGAGTTATTAAGTTCATCCCTAATTTTACTCTAGAAATAGAGTAAAATGCAAATCTAAAATCAGCAAAGGCTGCCTTTAGGATTGTTTAGAATTTAGTGATGCATTTTTGAACTAAATATTATAGTACAAGTCCTTAGTTTACAGTAGAGTACTTCTACAGTAGAGGGCAAAGTTCAAATGTATGCAATTATCTTCTGTAAGTATATACCTTGAATATAGGCAGCATGCTTTCTGAACTTTCAATAAATGCATTAGTCATAGAAGAGGAAAATGTGCTATTTTGTGAAATTTAAAGGAGGATCTTCAGTCAATTTCCTCTGAATGTGTGCAGAACTGAAAGTCAGACCTGTAATTCATGGTTGTCAACTGTTTTTACAGGGCTGTCAGTACAACAGATAGTTCTCTAAGACGGTTCCCAAGAGTCATAATCATAAAATTTTATGGTATGATAATGCAGAGCCAATGGAAACCTAATGGAAGGAGAATCTTCCAATATTTTTGAACATTCCTGTTTATTCTAGTTGTCTGCAGAAAAGATTTTAAATTGTGAATAGAAAAAGGCCAATAATAGCCTACTGAGATTATGTTTCTTACATGGTTATAATTTGAACCAAACAAGCTTTTGCAATGCTCATTCCAGACCACCTATAATGATTTTTCATATGGTCAGTGCTTTATTTCTCCCTAATTCTAAACAGCATAATTGCAAATGAATCTGAATGACTCTGTATTTAATTGCACATTGACATGTTTATGCATGAATTCCTATTAAACATTTTAATACTGAGGGTCATCTGTAATCAATTGTCAGCTTTCAGTCCAAATATCATGCTATACCTAAGCACAGCCAGAGTTACCTAATTTCACAAAATGAGTTATTGGAAGAAGGAAACCGCAGATGTCTGAAACAGATTTGCTTTTTTACATGCCTGGCATATAAAAACTGCAGAACTGCTGCTGATGTCTTACCAAGCACTACTAGCAGGATAGAAGAAAGTAATGCATTTAAACTGTGACACCACTGCAAACAACAAAAAACAACTCCTTTCATACTATCAAATAGTTCCCAGCTTCTAATGATCACATAGATAATGTTTTTCCATGAAGATCGTATCCTTAATTTGTTCTTTAAGGTCTCACAATGATGCATTCATCACCACTATAACTGAATCCGTCGTCTTTGCTGCTGGTCTTTCTCTTCTCTTTCTTTTCTACCTTTCTCAGCATCAGAGCCTTTTCCAGAGAGCTAAGTATTTGCATGAGATGTTCAAAGCAGATTAATTTATTCCTGTCATTTGTGTCTCAAATGAGAATTCTGAGTTGATTTATTCAGTGATCCATTACTTTGTTTTCTTGACTCCCCATGATTTTCTCAGGAATCTTCTCCAACACCAAATTCAAAGCAGTCAATACTTATCCTATATCTAATTTTTGAGTGTCATAGGGAATACCATGGTTTGCATTATTCTGATATTAGATCGCACACCACAGCATTTGAATATCTTTTCTGAGGCCTTCATGGCTTCTCTACCAAGTGCTAATCTGCAGGGTATTTTTTCTTTACTATTGATTGCTAAAAGACAGAAGCTATCGTTCCGTATACAATTGGCAATGAAGATACTTTAGTATCTTCATTGCCAATTTTGTTTATTCTCCTGTTGTCATTATTTTGGTCTTCTTTATTTTTAATTGTAGACCCATTTTTCTCACTGTGCTCTTTGACTTTTGGTGTTAGGGCTTCCTGATCCTTTGCATTTTCAGCTATCAGGGTAGTATCATCAATATGCATTTTCAGCTATAGTATCATCAACATACTGCAGGTTATTGATGTTTCTTCCTCGAACTTTAAAAACACACTTATCTTCTTCCAATTCCAATTCTTTCCCTTAATATATATTTATCATATAAATTGAATAAATAAGGGAAGAATATATAACCTTTTGTACTCCTTTGCTACCATGGAATCAGTCTCTTTTTGCCACGTTGTGTTCACACTGTGGCTTCCTGAATTGAGTATATACGTTTATCATTAGGACAATGAAATATTTTGGGTTCTCATTTTTCTGAGCACACACAGAACCTCTTTTTGGCACACCCTTATTTGCAATAAATTATATTGTGTTGAACAATTAGAAAAATAGTCACTTGTCAGATTCAATGAATTTATCTACATATTATAATTGGATCTACAATATCATACTGCCAAGTATTAGAAGACATCTTTTATCCTAAGAAGATGCCTTCTAGTATTTGGCAGTATGATTTTGTAGATATAATTTACTAAGTGAAAGGATGATGTACCTGGATTAATCTACAACTGATACAGTTTAAGATATGTTTGTTTGTTTGTTTGTTTGTTTGTTTGTTTGTTTGTTTATTTATTTAATTTGTATACCGCCCTTCTCCCAGAAGGGACTCAGGGCGGTGAACAGCCAAAATTAAAAAACATACAAATACAAAAGTTAAGATAATTAAAAAGAATTAAATCACTAGCTTCCCAATTTAAAACCCCCAAATCCATAAAATTTAAAATCCCAATTTAAAAACCATTTAGGCTAGGCTGGCTTGATGGAATAAAAACGTCTTCAGGGCTTTACGGAAGGTCCGGAGGTCCGGGATCAATCGTATTCCAGGAGGCAGCTCGTTCCACAGGGTGGGTGCCCCCACAGAGAAGGCTCTCCTCCTGGGGGCTGCCAGCTGACATTGCCTGACCGACGGCACCCTGAGGAGGCCCTCTCTGTGAGAGCGTATTGGCCGGTGGGAGGTTATCAGTAGCAGCAGGCGGTCTCGCAAATAGCCTGGCCCTAAGCCATGGAGCGCTTTAAAGATGACAACCAACACCTTAAAGCACACCCGGAAGACCACCGGGAGCCAATGCAGCTCGCGCAGGAGAGGTTTGTTAGACTGAAATCAGTTTTCTTAAACAATTGAAATAGGTCTATAGATTATTTTTCTCTAAAGATTTCATTACAACTGGGTTTTGGATTTAATGACCATGTGCAGCCAACAGTCCATATAAACTGCTGCCCTCAAATATCTGTCTTTAATGTGATTGCCCTCAAATACCTGATTCTTAATGTAACTGTAAAGTACATATTTGCTAATTAATTGATCACTGGTTTGGAAAATCTGCATTTAACAGTTTTGATCAACCTTTGGGTGACTTTTAGCTTGAATTCTAGTGACCCATAAATTCAGCTAGAAATTATTTAATACTGAAAAAAGATTTATATTTATATTATTAAAGGAAGTAAATAACTTTTCTACAAGATTGGTGACTTAACACTTAAAAATAATAAAAAGAAATCTGAATTTATATTCTCTGTAATATATGCAAACTTAAGAAAAAAATAAGAATAAAATAATTTGAAAAGGTTATTTCTAGAACCTGTGTCAGACAAAATTGCATAGCAAAGTTTTGCTTTTACAGTTATTTCCCAGTTACTGTACAAAGTAGGCTATACTGTGTTATTTGCTGTATCGTTACTATAGCTTGTAATACAAAGTATTACAGTCTAAGCAGACTGTGTTCTGGTTTTGAATAATGAATAGCATTCAGAGGACCAGTGCAAAAATACAATAAAATAGAAGGAATGCACACACACACAAATACACACATTATATAATAAAATATATAACAAAATGATTTTATAAGAAAATTCAGTTTAGAACACAATTCTCTGTGCATGCTATGCATTTTCTGTAATGGAAGATAAGAGAAAACCTTTCTAACCATATTGTATAAACTCTAAGCAGAATTTTGAATTATTGGTAAATCAGAAAGGCTTATTATTATGCTTAGTCACAGAATCAATCTGATGTTTAGATTAGAGTTGGAATTTTTGTCCTATTTATTTGTTAGCATTATGTTTGCTTTGCAATGAAAGTTCAAGCTTACTCATATTCTGGAAAATAGCACACAAAACACTATCTCAATTTTTTTTTTCTTGTTGGATCTGTTTATATCTTCCATCCTCAAAACTATAGTATCATGATTCTATGGCTTCAGTTTTGAAAGTTCTTATTTTGTTTTATTTTTTCCTTTCTTTTCAATGCCCCCTCCCCAATTCCCTACACAGAATGCTCTGGACCATTGGGAATAGAAGGAGGAATCATTTCTAACCAACAGATTACTGCATCATCCACCCATCGGGCTCTTTTTGGGCTCCAGAAATGGTATCCCTACTATGCACGACTTAACAAGAAAGGTCTTATAAATGCTTGGACTGCAGCAGAAAATGACAGATGGCCATGGATTCAGGTAACAGAAGGAGTTGAATGCGTGAAAAACTATTAGCCTCTATTGATAATATTGTTTAGTAACCAGTGCAACTTTCATAGATGTGCAGACATGCATTGAGATGTTTTTGAAGTAGTTTATGTTACCCAAAGTCAAATTTCATTCGTTCTTTTCAAGATATAACTATATATAGATTTTTTTTTACTATGCATTATATTTCTTTTTCTTTCTACATTGTTGCTTATTTGGCAAAAGATTCAGTTTATCTGTAATATTTCTTTTGTAATAAGTATAGTTTCCTTTATAAACTTTCAGGTACATGATATAAACTAAGTAAATATGTAATTTATTTTTCTGCTTTCTCCTAATGAGATGGATATTGAAGCTACCATTCTAGTGTGTATTGCCAGGATGTAATTAGTTGGAACTACAAGCTTGTAATCGGCTTGTGATTTAATGGGTCACTAGTCATGGCATTATAAGCAAATTAAAAGGAAGCTCACTCATATCTAAGTTTAAAGTAGTCTGTATAGATTTAGAAATAAATAAAATATTTTCCATGTTCAGCACTTACTGCTTCATTAGAAGCACTGAGACATGTTGCTTTAACACAGATGTGAAATAATTTTATATTATCTTATTTTAATATCTACTATTGAGATACGATCATATTTCTCATTCAGTTTTTGTATTAAATTTTGCTGTTTATCTCCTCAATAGTACTCTTACCTGCCCTTTTTTCATTATTCCTTATCTAATATGACCTTTAGCTTTTTACAAAGACATTTACCAAAGATAAGGATGTAATAAATGGAATATCTCTGCAAACTATGTAATATCAATATGCTTAAGATTTTTGATTTATATTTTAAAACTTCCTAAGTTATTTTTCATAACCCAAACCTTGGAGGTAAAAGGACCACAAAGGGATGGAAACATTTACTGTTCTTGGACACGGATTACCCATTTCCTTTGTACAGTATATTGTTTCAACCATAATCTACTTAATACAAACCCAGTCAAGAAACTGATGATACCTATATACACAACTGCTCCAAGTGGGGGTGATGAAGAACAACTAGTTGACCCAGATTTCCAACTAGAAGACACTTTACTTTGTTCTTCCCTTATAAGCAGGAAAATGAGTCACCGGTAAAGTCAGAGGTGGGTTTCAGCAGGTTTTGACCAGTTCTGGAGAACCGGTAGTGGAAATTTTGAGTAGTTTAGAGAACTGGTAGCAGAAATTTTGAGTAGTTCGAAGAACCGGTAAATACCACCTCTGACTGGCCCTGCCCCCATCTTTTTTCTGCTTCATGAGTTCCAGCTGATCGGGAGGAAAAGAGATTTTGGAGTATCCTTTCCCTGGAGTGGGAAGGAAATGGAGATTTTACAGTATCCTTCCCCTGCCAAGCCCACCAAGCCACACCCACAGAATCTGTAATAAAATTTTTGAAACCCACCACTGGGTACATTCTAACAATATAAGCAGGAATGCCAGTATTATCAAAGAAGAAAATGGTTTGGGCACAGCTTTGGGAGCAGAGGAATTAACTATTGAGTTAATTCACAAATTTTTGTGAAATAACTCAATAGTTCTGAGCAACTTCCTTAGTTTCTAGATAATATATAGAATTTCTCACTGTTTTGGTATATTTTGACTTGTTCAAAAACTGAATAAAATTCTCTGGTAACTTTGAGCCAAAGCTTCTGACATTCTACATCTTCTGACAATTCTATACTTGTATACAAAAATAGTTTGCTTTATTATGTTAAAAAGTTGGGTTTTTATAATAAGTGAGCTTTATATTTGAAGTCTTAATGATTTAAAAAAGAAGAAAGTAAAACAGAACCTTAAAGTTATCTAATTAGTTAACATCTGGATCACAAATAAAATGGTCACACAGATCAACTAGTCATAATTTTCCACATTATGGTGAGCTGAATCATTCTTTTATTACACAGTAGATTAACAATGCAGTTAATTTGAATTCTAGTGGTCTTTTCTAAACTCATATCTATCTGATCACTTATTTACAATGTTTATATACCATTTTTCAGTACAATTATCAAGGATAACAGTTAAAAGCAGCGGTGACATTTTTAAAAAGTGTAGAAAATAGCATCTCCTATTGAAGTACCCAATATTATGGCAACAATCAAAACCCAAGAGTTCTTTTAAACAATGCTATTTTAACGTATTTCTAAAGCAAATCAAGGTAGACACCACTCAGCCAGGAGATGACTATTCTAGATAATGGGGCACAATATCTCTGAAATTGTTTTTAAAAGTGTTGGAAGCCAATACATCTGCCAATATAATATTTTAGGGGCTCTCTCAATGGATGTCAATAGATTATTGCAGCTTCTTAGAAATATCTAAGGCAAAATTTATAAATTACTTTCATAATATAATGCCAATATATGAGTGAGGTGAGGGTGACTTCCCCGCCGCCTTGAAAGAGGCGGTGGTGAGGCCTCTCCTCAAGAAGCCTTCCCTGGACCCGGCAGTGTTGGCTAATTATCGTCCAGTCTCCAACCTTTGTTTTGTTGCGAAGGTTGTTGAGAGTGTGGTTGTGCGACAGCTCCCTCAGTACCTGGATGAAACGACGTATCTGGATCCGTTCCAGTTGGGCTTCAGGCCTGGGTACAGCACGGAAACGGCATTGGTCGCATTGGTTGATGATCTCTGGAGGGCTCGGGACAGGGATTGCTCCTCTGTCCTGGTCCTATTAGACCTCTCAGCGGCTTTTGATACCATCGACCATGGAATCATGCTGCACTGGTTGGAAGAGTTAGGTGTGGGAGCACTGTATTACAGTGGTTCTCCTCCTTTCTCTCTGACTGGTTGCAGTCTGTGTTGGCAGGGGGGCAGAGGTCGACCCCGAGGCCCCTCATATGTGGGGTGCCACAAGGGTCGGTCCTCTTGCCCTTTTTATTCAATATTTATGTAAAGCCGCTGGGCGAGATCATCCGTGGTTTCGGGGTGAAGTACCACCAGTACGCTGATGACACCCAGCTGTACATCTCCACCCCGAACCACCCCAACGATGCCCTTGAAGTGATGTCCCGGTGCCTGGAGGCCGTGCGGATCTGGATGGGGAGGAATAGGCTCAGGCTCAACCCATTCAAGACCAAGTGGCTGTGGTTTCCAACGTCCCAATATAGTCAGTTGGTGCCATCACTGACTATTGGGGGCAAATCGCTGGCCCCCACGGAGAGGGTTCGCAACTTGGGTGTCCTCCTGGATTCACGGCTGTCTTTAGAAGAGCACTTGACAGCCGTGACGGGAGGATTTTTCATCAGGTTCGCCTGATCTGCCAGTTGCGTCCCTTTCTGGATCGGGACTCCCTACACACAGTCACTCATGCCCTTGTCACTTTCCGCCTGGACTACTGCAACACTCTCTACATGGGGCTCCCTTTGAGGAGCACCCGGAGGCTCCAAGTGGCGCAGAGTGTGGCCGCACGGGTGGTTATGGGAGCAACATGGCGCTCCCGTGTGACACCTCTCCTGCACGAACTGCACTGGCTCCTGGTGGTCTTCCGGGTGTGCTTCAAGGTTTTGGTCACCACCTTTAGAGCGTTCCATGGCTTAGGACCTGGTTATTTACGGGACCGCCTACTATCACAAGCAGCCTCCCACCGGCCGGTATGCTCTCATAGAGAGGGGCTCCTCCAGGTAAGGTCAGCTAAACAATGTCGACAGGCAGCCCCCAGGGGGAGGGCCTTCTCTGTGGGGGCACCCACTATCTGGAATGAGCTCCCCCCCCAGAGATACGGAGGATCCGAGATCTATGCACTTTCCGCCGTGCTCTTAAGATTCTTCTATTCCAGCAAGCCGGCCTGGCCTAATTTTCTCCCCTGTTTTAAAATTCTTTTAAATCGAAATTTTAATCTGTTTTAAATTATTGGGAGTTTTTAATTGTCTCGGGCTAAATTATTTAATCTGGTTTTAATTATGTCTTTTAACTTTTGTATTTATGTATTTTATTTTGTGCCTGTTCACCGCCCTGAGTCCTTCGGGAGTAGGGCGGTATATAAATCTAATAAAACAAACAAACAAAACAAACAATATAACAATGGGCTGAATTACCCTTACTAAGGTATCCCAATCAGGATGGGATAACAATCTGCACACTATCTAAAATTGGCCATGATTTTTACTATGATCTCTAAACATCTAGCAGCATACTCCAAGTTCCAAATTTGCTACTTCAGGAAGATTGCTGTTCTGTTTAGAGCCATATGTAACGATCAGTGAAAAAAAATATTCTCTTTTGGCAAATTTCAGTGAAGTACTTCACTGAGCACCACATTCACCAAAGTCAAGGCATGTCAAAGATGGAAAAGACAAAATTAGAAGGAAGAACCAGCATATACAACCCCAAATGTTTGGAGACAAATGGAAGATTGAACTTTCTGATCTAAAATCAAATTTCATTATTTTAATAATTTCTATTAAGAGCTTTTTCTTAGATAAGATACAGGTATAAAAATTTAGAAAAAATAAAAACAGAAGCAAATAATACAGTTAAAGACAAAAGGCAATTGAGCAATTTCTCTCCTTCTTTACAAAAGTTACAAATCAAATTTATTATCCCTTCTCCCTCTTTAATAGCACTTAAACTTTTATACCACTTCATGGTGCTTTGCAGCACTCGTTCAGCAGTTTACAGAGTCAGCATATGGCCCCCAACAAACTTCTTATTCAATTCTTTTTCAGTCATCAAATCCAAAAATCACCATTTCATTTTTTTGCCCACTGTTAGCAAAAAGTCCACAAAGTTTTTTTATAAAAGTATGTATTGTTTTCTCCCTGACCAAACAGGCCAGTTTTGCCATCTCTGCTAATTCTGCTATTTTCACAGTCCTCCATTGTGGATATTTCAATATTTTTCCATATTTGTGCATACAATCTTTCTGCACTTATCATATCAAAACAATATTGTGAAAGTGTTTTCTAACTGGCTATCCATAAGTCCCAATAAAAAAAAAGTTTTGGTTCCATCTCAATGTTATCCT